ATATATGTATCTAAGATATGTATATGTATATATATATATATATATATATATATATATATATATATATGTATATGTATATATATATATATATATATATATATATATGTATATATATGTATATTATATATGTATATATATATATATGTATATTATATATATATGTATACTATATATATATTTATATATCATTATATTTATATATATATTTTTTTTTTTTTTTTTTTTTTTTTTTTTTTTTTTTTTTTTTTTTTTTTTTTTTCAACAGCCATTCATTCCACTGCAGGACATAGGCCTCTCTCAATTCATTATTGAGAGGTTATATGGCAGTGTCACCCTTGCCTGATTGAATGCCCTTCCTAATCAACCGCGGTTCGGCGCGTTAACACTTGTTCCACGGCGGTGACTTCCCCTACGACACCTGCGTCTGACTGCTCAAGGCGATATGTCGTTTTCTCGGGCTCGAGCAAGCAGTCAGAGCACGGGCATTTTTACGACTGCTGCGACGGGGAATTGAACCCGGGACAACGAGGGTCGGAGTCCAATGCTCTAACCACTGAGCTATCGCGGCAGTATATATATATATATATATATATATATATATATATATATATATATATATATATATATATATATATATATATATATATATATATACATATATACATATACACATACATATATACATATACATATACACACGTATACATTTACATATACATATACATATCCATATATATTACTTGTTTGTTTCATTGGTCTTGAGAATTTGTTGTAATGACATCTGTCCTTTTTACAGGGAAGATAATTCAGAAGAGGAAACTGGTAGAAAAATGCTTACCAGACATGCAGCTCAAGTCAAACCAGCTTCTGAGGAAGAGGAGGAAGAGGAGGAAGAGATGGCTGATGAAGAAACTAAAGAGGATGAAGTTGTTGATGGGAAATGTACTGAAGGTTCTGACAAAGTCAAAGTGAGATACAAAGAAGGCAAAGGTGAAGAAGCTGCTAATGGAGACGATGATGAAGAGGGTAAGAATCAAGAGGAGGATGAGGATGAGGATGATGATGATGAAATGCCACAGATGAGGCGCACAACAAGAAGTTCACTTGAAGCAGGAGGAGGGAAAATTGAAGATACAGAAGAGGAGGAGGAGGAAGAAGAGGAAGAGGAGGAGCCTCCACCTGTAAGACCACCACCAAGGAAGAGTAGAAAGTATGGAGCTCAGGACCCAATCATTGCCCGTGCTTTGGCCTCAAAAGTTCCGGTATGCGAGCAGTTAACTTCATTTGTGACTCTTTAGCTGTGTAACTCTTTTCATGGCTGCTGCTGTTGTTTTTAACTTTTGAATACCATGGTACATTATAAATAGAACTTTTCCATATTTATTGAAAAATGATTATATAAGTTTCTGAAAGCCACAATACAAAGTAGATGTAAGTTAGAAGTTAGCTTGTTTTTGCAAAATATTATTATTTAAATTCTTTTTCCTTTAGTTTGAAGATCTATATCCACGAGTGAAGAGGGAGAGACGACCTGTGAAGCGCTTTATGTATGAAGAGGAGGAGGAAGAAGTTAGCACAAGGAGAATTCGCAAACGTGTAACCTCATCTGATGAGAGTGATAATGATAAAGATGAGGAAGAAGAGGAGGATGAGGATGAGGAAGAGGAGAATGAGGAGCAGAATGGAAATCGATATTCACTCAGACAAAACAGAAGAGAAATCAGGCCATTCCAATTATCTTCTGTGGGTATGTGTACACAGGATTGTTTTTTGAAAATTTCAAGTAATATTATGACATTAGTTAACAACATCTTTATTTATAATGTTTAGCAGGCAGGTTCCAAAACATTTTATAACAACATTATTTTTTTATCTATATTGGTCTTATTGGACAGAGGGTAATGGTCTCTGGCCAGTGATGTGCTCCTCTTTAAAGAAGAGTTCAAACACTTTCAAGCTTTCTATATCTTATTTCTCTTATGCACCAGAGAAATCATCTAGGTCCAGAAGCTACAGAGAGGACACTCCACCAAGAAGACATCACAGAAATCGCAAGAGATATGTCAATTCTCCAGCAAGGAAGCATATGTTCCATTTAAAGCGGAGGGTAAGGGTAAGGATGTCAATTATTGATTTTTTGTTTGCTCTGAAATCTTGAATTGAAATCTTGTGAGGAAAAGGGCAATTATTATTTTTTCTTTTTCATAGGCTGCACACAATTCATCAAGTAGCAGCAGTAGTTCAGATGAAAGCCACTTCGAAAAGAGTAAAATGAGAAGTATGGCTAAATCTCGCAACCGCTGCCTCCCCATGAATGTCAAACCTGATGACTTGATTACAGGTGCCTTAAAGTAAGTAGATGGAACATGTTTTTTGCTACTTGTGAAGCCTCTTGTCAATTTCAGTATCTTGGTCCCCTCCCCCCTTTCTTGTTCTTCATTTTTATTATTTTATTAGTTGTATATTTCCTTTACTTCTCTTTATTAGGTTTGTTGCCTACTTTCTTTTCCTTCCCCTGCCCTTCCAATACCATCCATGTTAAGTTGCAGAAATGTATTCTTCCTTGCTGTCTTAGAGGATGTATATATGAAAATGAATTATGTGTACAAAAATTTACATATGTTATCTATTACATATAATGCTTACAAGTTTTTGTTTTCATTGCAGGGATAGAGAGAAGATAGGAACAAGTTTGGCTGACATTGATCCAATGTCAGTAGACAGAGGTGTTAACTTTGACTCTGTGGGTGGCCTGGCCCACCATGTAAAGGCCCTCAAGGAAATGATTATCTTTCCTCTTGTGTATCCTGAGGTTTTTGAAAGGTTTAAGATCACTCCACCAAGGGGTGTCCTCTTTTATGGTCCACCAGGTAAGGGTTTTCAAAATCAGCTTTTATAGTTATATCATTGGGCAGATGTTGGCACCATGTGCAAAAGGCAAAGTACTACTACTCTGGGTTGCCTATAATTTTTTGTTTGTGTTATTTCTCTAAAGAAGTGATATCTGATTTGCTATTCTTTCACAGTAGAAAAGTGCTGCAAGCATATGTTTCTTTTTTCCTTCTTTATTTCTTTTTTTACTTTTTTTTTCCTTCTTTCTTTTTTAACTTCTTGAACTTCATTTTTCTTGGAATATATTTTTATATAAAAATATCAACCCATTGAGGCTAGGAGAGCATGCATGAAAGCCATTATTCACTTTGACTTTAGCTTATTAATTTTGTTTACACACACAAGAAGTGCAATTACTGCTCTCACATGTTTACCCAATTCACAGATTTTTTAAAAAGAACAGCATTTAGTTTTATTGTTATTAGTATTGCTAAAAATGATAATGATGATGATATTGTCAATGATGATAATGAAAAGATGATAATAACTTTTTTATCATTGAATGGGGTAAATATGTAATAGTAATACAATTATATGTTTTTCCTGAAATGATAATAGTATAACTTTTTTTTACTGAAAAATCCAATGAAATCCTGGTAATTATATTCAAGGAATGGGTTAAACAGGTGAGATCAGGTAAGCACAGGGGGTAATTTAGAAGCAAAATAAAACAGACAGCATGTCACACTAAGAGTATCCATTGTAACAAATGGAATAAAATTAAATTATTATTATTATTAATTATAGTTTGACTCCTTGATGACATGCACATCAGAGCCATCTCTGGGTAAACAAAATGAAAAGAAAAAATATAGTAGACAGTGCATGTACTGAGAACTAAGAGGTTAAACTTTATTGGATCACTTTTTTACCAAATTTTATTGATATTAATAAAAGTTGTACATTACAGGAACAGGTAAAACTTTAGTTGCAAGAGCTTTAGCCAATGAATGCAGTGCTCCTGACAAAAAGGTTGCTTTCTTCATGCGTAAGGGAGCAGATTGTCTTAGCAAATGGGTTGGAGAGTCCGAAAGGCAACTTAGACTTCTCTTTGATCAGGTAATAAAACTATCAAAAAGGTAGAAGTTATCAATATGCTTGTGTTTTAGATTTCTAATATACAAAGCTAAGCTTGCATAAATATTTGCAAGCTGTTGCTAGTTAATTCTAGGAATGTTTTGTTAAAATTAATACTTTGTAACTTTAGAATATGTTTTTAGTTTTCTTTTTAGTGCTTTACTGGAATATACAAAGTCTCTTATGTCTCCACTAGCATCTTTAGAGAAGTTAATGTTAATGCAATTTACCTTTAATCCCTAGGCCTATCAGATGCGTCCATCCATAATTTTTTTTGATGAGATTGACGGTCTTGCTCCTGTACGATCATCACGACAAGATCAAATCCATTCCAGTATTGTATCAACGCTTTTAGCTCTCATGGATGGTCTTGACTCCAGAGGGGAGGTTGTCATCATTGGAGCAACTAACAGGATTGACGCCATTGATCCTGCCCTCAGGAGGCCAGGCCGTTTTGACCGGGAGTTTCATTTTCCTCTGCCATCAGCTAAGGTGAGTCTACATGATACTAATACTACAGTTGTTACTCCCCCCCCCCCCCCAAATATAGTTGTTATTGTTGTTGCTATTATTATTATTATTACAATGTTCTCATTGTTCTTACTATTTTCTTCAGCTGTTATAGCTATCTTTTGTAAGCACTAATTATTATTATAGATTCCCTATGTTGATGTTAGTTGCAGTTAAGATTATGGTTGCTACTTGCAAGAAAAAATTGATTATTTAAAAGTTTGATTAAGTCAACATAACACTCCCCTTCTTCCATCAGGCACGGCAGGAGATTCTTAAGATCCACACAAAGAGTTGGGAGCCGCTACCAAGTCAGCGTTTGCTTCATTACCTTGCCGAGCAGACTACTGGTTACTGTGGTGCAGACATCAAGAGCTTGTGTGCTGAAGCAGCTTTGGTAGCACTAAGGGGGAAGTTTCCACAGATCTACTCAGCAAAGCAGAAGCTCCTCATTGATGTTTCAAAGATCAGTGTAAGAATTTAGGGGCTTCATCTCAGAATTTATTGACATCCTACTCTAATTAAAAAAAAAATGCTTCCTTGTTTCTGTGTAAATATAATTATTCAGCATTTAAATGATATATAGTTGTTTTCTGTATGATACACAGAATAGCTTTTGATACTTCGTATAATCTTACAGATAAAAGTAGCTCACTTTAGGGTGGCAATGACCAAAATAGTGCCAGCTGGACAAAGGTCTGCAGCTGGAGTGGGACGACGTCTCAGCTCCAATATTCAGCCCCTAGTTCAGTCCTCTCTGAACAGGAGCTTAGCTCTCCTGAGAGAAAGTTTCCCTCATGCCTTTGTCAAGTCCAAGCTTGCTGCAAAGAGCCGTAGCACCCACCGTCCGAGACTACTTTTAACTGGATTGAGGACACAGGGACAGAGCACACACCTTGCTCCAGCTATCATTCATTCCCTAGAGAAGGTCCCCACCCACAAGCTAGATCTGGCAGCCCTTTACTCAGTATCAGCACGAGCACCAGAAGAAGCTTGTGCCCAGGTGAGATGTGAAACCAAAATCTGTTTAAATATTTTTCATACATGTAGTTATTTATTATCCTGAGCATAAGATAGTCAAACATATTTATTTAGTGCTTGCATTTGAAATTTTGTGACATTTTTTCAAGTCATTTAATAGAAAATTTCATCTAGGTATTCCATGAAGCTCGGCGGAATCTACCAAGCATCGTGTATGTTCCACACATTGATCAATGGTGGGGAACTACATCTGAAACATTACGGGCTACCTTCATGTCATTGCTGTTGGATCTAGATCCCACAGCCCCTCTCTTGTTGCTTGCTACATCTGATGTCCCATATGATGATCTGGATGAAGAGGTTGGATAAGTTTAATTTTAACATTTTGCTTTGTGTTTGGATGCAGTATTATAAAAAGACTAATACAGGTAGAGGTGACTGGCAGAATGTGTATTTTAACCCAATGACGCCGGGTGTATAAAACAAAACAAAAAAAAAAACAAAAAAAAAAAAAAAAAAAAAAAAAAAACTCTACGCTCTAGCAAACAAAGGCGGCGCGCCGACTTTGAGCACGTGAGTAGGGGACATCAACCCGAATCACTGGCTCACCGTGCTTTGGCGTGCCGCCGCGGCATATGGCAGCACACCAGCTTTCGAGCGCTTTGTTTTCACGCCAATCGGCGTCACCCGGCACTAAGGGGTTAAGTCTAAATACTTTTTTTGTCTAAATTAAACTTCTAATTTCAGGTCCAGATGTTATTCAGCGTTTATAGGGAAGAAGTGATGACAATGGTTAATCCCAGTGAGGAAGAGAGACAGCAATACTTCAAGCCTTTATTTTATACAAATATGCTTCAGAAGCCAAAGGTATTTTCATGCAGTTCTGATGTGCTTTTAAAAGATGTCTAACTGAAGGACATGTTACATTACTACAATTAGATTGGATGGATTTTATACATATTAAAAGGTGTTTATATATGAACCGTGAAATTATTTTTACAGTTGTTTATGTATTCATAATTATTTTTTTATGTCATGTGAGAATAGTGTTTTCATTGTCTTTTATGTTAGTATTTACTACATGCAAGTATTAGATTGACAAGCTATAAAGAACTTTATTGGCAGTGCACTGGTATGGCAGCATCAGCCTTTTTTGGTGGCTGAAAAGTAGATATGTATTATTCATATTCTTGTTACCAGTGCACATGAACTTTTTTGATACAAGTATACGTATTCCATTCATGGTCTTTTATTTGTAGTGAATTTCACATTGTAACTTTTTATTTCTAGTTACTTTCTCACATGTTTGTGGACAAATGCATATAAACTTTTGGAATCCAAACAAAGAAAGATTGAAACACAATCAACGATGCATCCTCAAAATGTCACAAATGAAAGAATGAATTGATGAATAATAGATACATGAATGTTTCTGATATATATAATCAGTTACTTCTGATCCAATGTCTCCAAATTATCCTCTTCTTTAGGTCCGAACTGGCAGGAAAAAGTTGGAAGAACTGCCTGTGGCACCTGCTCCTGCACATCGGCAGCTTACCAGCAAAGAGATAAGAAAATTGGAAGAAATTGAAGAAGCCACACTCAGGGAACTGCGTATATTCCTTCGGGAAATATGTGCCAAGCTAGCTAGAAATAAAACGTAAGTCTGGAGTGTATGTGTGAGTTGGTGTAGTATTACAAGCATTTGCCATGGAAGATTCAGTTGAGGTTTTATTAAATTTCTAAAATGATTTTCTGGAACTTAGCTTTACATTTGCTTTAGAAGAGATACACTGGATTTATATTTATTTTCAGGTTTTATATATTCACAAAACCTGTAGACGAAGAGGAGGTACCTGACTATCGCGAGATTATCAAAGAACCAATGGATCTTGAGACAATGATGACCAAGATCGATCAGCACCAATATGAATGTGCTCAGGAATTCTTGAGAGACATTGATCTGATCTGCAACAATGCTCTGGAATATAATCCAGATAAGAATCCTGAAGGTTTGTCATAGATAATACTGATTTATAGTTTAGAATCCTTTATTGATGTGCATAGTTGCAAGGTAGAAATATTTTTCATGCCTGAAACTGCTATTTTTAAAGTGATTTAGCAACTACTTTTATGATAATGTTTATTTCAGCTAATAAGATTTTGATTGAACATTTTTATACTTTGGATCATATGGGAGTGTTTTAAATTTTTATGCAAGGGAGTGAACAGAGAGGTGCTTTTATATATGAAAGCCCTTTTTTATCAACTTTATACTATATACTTACAAATCACCAAAGTTTGATAAGTAATTTGTAAATTGCAAATAGCATTGAAGAGGCTTAATAGTTCTTCCATACTTTTGAGGATAAGGAGGTATTTAGGAATTAAAAGAAAATCTACTGATTTGTAGATGCTTTTTACTTAGTTATTTTAATAAAATTAAAGAATTAAATTTACTTTGTTTTTTCTTAGATAAGATAATCCGTCATCGAGCCTGTACTCTGCGAGATACTGCTTATGCCTATATAAAAGCAGAGATGGACACAGACTTTGAAGATCGATGTAGAGACATAAGAGATAATCGCACAGAACGCAAGAAGATATACTCAGATCCTGTTCAGAAGAGTACACCCAGCTTTATCAGTGTGGCACCACCAAAAGCTACAGTGAGTCTGCAGTTGGCTTTGGTTTGATCTATCTTATCAAAAATTCTGCTAAAGGCAAGATAGTGTTTTCATCTGTCATCAGATTTGATTCTCTGTGAAGGCATCTATACACCACACCTCATAGGTGTATAGAAGAGATTTACACAAAGAATAATCCTCTAATTCAAGGGTTCTTAACCAGGAGTCCATGGACCTGTAGGTGTCCTTAGAAGCATTTCAAGGAATCCATGAGGATCAGATAACAAATAATCAATTATAATAATAATAATTATTATTATTTATTTATTTATTTATTTTTATTTATTTATTTTTTTATCATTATTATTTTTTAGTCCATTTATTTCAAAGTTTAACCCAATAGCTACAGATTTATGTACTATCCCCTCTATTTTTTTTAAATATTACATACAACTGGCTCCACACATGCTCAGCCAGCAAGGAGTCTACCAGTAGCCTTAGTGACCATGCCTGATATCCCCATTCCTTGAAATTACTGGAAAATGTGTTGCTTTCTAGTACTATTGATATTGGTACTGTTATTATTATTATTGATATTATGGTTATTAAATTATTGTTAAAATTTTATAACTTTAAAGATAATTAAATAATACAAAAACTTTCCAAAAATCAAGGTAAAGGATATATGTATGTGATGGGTAGGAGTAATAACTGACTCCTTGGTGACTAATCACCTGTAGAACCATGTATAAATGTGTAAAAACAACAAATGAATTTGTATTACAGTGGGTATGGTATGTATCCCTGCCATCTGTGTTGATTGATTGGGTATGGCTATACATGTGGTGACGCACTAGTGCTACGCATAACAGACTCCTGCTCCCAACGGTGCACCAGAAAGCAATGGAGTCTATGGAGCTGAAAGATTTCTAATACTGTCACTGATGGACTAAAGTTGTCCATGGCTCTAAAAAGGTTAAGAACCACTGCTCTAATGCATCTGTTGACACACTTTTGGAGAATGATAACCAACTTTACTGTATTAGATCTTTGAATTGAACCTTTTTATCTAACTCTTATTCATTATAGAGGAAAGTTGGTAATCATAATCATCCTTTAGGATAAATATCCCACATAAGAAGCCTATATGCGATATCTACAAAACCAGAGTTAAGACTGTTGTGAATCCCTATATTTTAGATACTTTAAGAAGAAGTAATGTTTAATAGGAGAATACTGTTAGGGGTAAGGGGAGGTAACTTTACTATGGCTATTGAGTTGAAAATTGTTAAACACCCAAATAATTACTTTAAGTAAGAATTTAGAAAATAGACTTGTACAGTTGAAAACAATGGCTTATATATTTGACACTTTTTGCTTAAAGCAGCAGTAGAAGGTTGAATAACATTATATAATGTCTTTGATTTTAGAATACATTATTTTAATGGTTTCCTTACAAGCCAATGTAAACTGAAACAGGTACTTCCTTTTTTGAGTTTCCAAAATGTTTACTTTTTATCATTTTCATGCTATAGAAATGTTATACAGTTGGGTATTTTTTGATGGTAAAAGCAATTTAACCCATTGAATCAGGATGCTTCATTGCCATCATGTGATACAAAATACAAGCATTAAGCTTACATGAGTGGACATTCTGCCAGGTGTATGGCTTATAGATCAGGCACAAATGAACACTTGTGTGTGGTGACAAGACTCCATGCCTCCCCTTTGCAATGTTATTTTGTCTTAATTGGCAAAAGTGTTTTTATCTTTTTTTACCATTTTCCAATGTCTATAATTGTCATTTGATTTGCTTTATCTTGATGGTGATAAAACATTTTCTTTTCACAAACTCCATATCTCTAGGTAGTCTATAACTGATAATAAGTAATTTCTTTTTCTTCTTCGTCATCTTCTCCTCTTCTCCATAATATTCAATTTTCTGTTATGCCAGTCATAGCAGGCAGGAATAAGATCCTTAGCATGGAAATAGTGACCTCCTGGAGCTAGTGATCTTCCAGTCATAGGTCATGGACATTACATTCCACACATTCATTAATCAATGGAAAAAATGCACCCAAATGAGTCTTATCATTCTCCAAGAGTTTTGTGCAGGAGTGGTGAGTCTTTACCTTTTCTTCAGCTGAAATGCTCATGACGGCATGTTCATGTCACCCACCTCTCAACCTTTTTTTTTTTTTTTTTTTTTTTTTTTTCCTTCCTTCCTTCCTTCCTTCCTTCCTTCCTTCCTTCCTTCCTTCCTTCCTTCATGATGTGATGGTCATGTCATTTGAATCATAGGGTTAATTGCCAAATGTAACTTCTATTCCAGGTTGAAGAGGTGAAGACTGGTAGACTATCGGAACCTGTAACACCACACACAACGAGGCCAGATGTGACAGGTAAGAAGAACAGCGTTGTGTACTTGTTAGGCAAAAAGACTAATAAGGGGGAAATAGAATTCTATACAGGTTTCTGTTTATGATTAATATAAGTATGAAATTACTTTTCTAAAGATCACCTGATATTTAACCCAATGGCGCCGGGTGTACAAAAGAAAAAAAAAACTCTACGCTTAAACAAACAAAGGCGGCGCGCCGACTTTGAGCGCGTGAGTAGGGGACATCAGCCCGAATCACTGGCTCACCGCGCTTTGGCGCGCCGCCAGCTTGTTTGGCTGCACGCCAGCTTTCGAGCTCTTTCTTTACACGCCGATCGGCGTCACCCGGCATCAAGGTTTTTTTTTTATGGCTCCTACTTATTCTTATATTTTCATTAATTAGTAAGTTAGCAGGTTTTGTTTAGCTGCAATTAACTTTGGGTAAAGAAAAGAAAATAGTTATTTTTTACCTGATGTACTATATGTAGAAGTGTCAATTCAAATTAAACAGTAATGCATGGTAAATGTTTCAAAGTACTAATTATAGCATTCCGTGTTGTTTCACAGATCAACAAGCAAAGACAACAGGGGATATCCACAGACGACGCAAAAGGAGATATAGAAGTGCTTGGTCTCGAGGTGAAATCAAGCCAAAGAAAAGGAGAATAATTGAAAAGGAGACAACAGAAAAGAGAGAAGAGGTAGAAAATTATGAGGCAAAAACAGAGGAGGAAGAGGAGGAGGAAGTGGATAATAAAGAAAAAGTGGAAGAGAATGGAGAGAAGAGTGAGGAAGAAGTAAGTGTTCACTCCACAGATAATTCTGATGATGAAGTGAAGAGAAAGGCAGGAGATAAGCAAGATCCCACAATTCAGGTAATGATTTTTATTTTTATTATTTTTTTTATTAATGCCTTTTTTATCTGAAGTGTTTTGAAGTACATGCTTACTCTAAGAGCATGCTTATTTCATATATTTACATATGTACAACCTCAATTATATAATAGAGGATGGGCATTTGAGATGCTCATTAAGTTTTTTAACATCTCATGTGACTTGAGGTACATCAGTATATTCAACTCTGCAACAGGGAGCAAGTTAGATGTCCATGATGTATGTATGTTCTGTCATGAAAGTTGTGAATTGGTCAGTGTCTTACATCCCCAACTATGAAGTTTCTGTTTTCAAACCAGTCTAATTTTACTCATTAGTTTCACATACATCAAAAGTTATTAGTTTTATTTTATATATGCACAATATCAGTGGATGGATGACTAACTGGAATGCAACAGCTCATCCCTGTTTCTGTACCCCTGTGATGCTGATAGATAGCTCAATTAAGCATGAAAACATTCTGATCGTGAGTTTATTGCATACAAAAGATATGTTTGTATAATCATAAGCTGCCCCCCCCCAAAAAAAAAAAAAAAAAAAAAAAATAATCATAATAAAAAATAAATAAATAAATAAATAAAGGATAATAGATAAAATAAAATTTAAAAAACAAAACGTTGAGGCTAGATTAGTGATCAGTAATATTCAACTTTCTGTAAAAGTTTAGTTTACTTAATTGCAATACAGTATTCCTTGACAAGGCCCCATAACTCTCATCATATGAGGATGACAGGCACACTGTGTATAGCAGAGTAATGTATTGTTTACATAGGTATGCATAGATGATAAAGAATAAGTTAATGAAATTGTTTTTTTACTGACAGTTTCTGGCTTTTGGAAAATTAGAATAAACAATATGCAATAATAATGGGGAAGTAGAGGAGTTTCATGTTGAGGGATGTTGCTGCTGCTGCTGATGTCCTGTAGTTGAGCATTCACTTGAGTTGAGAAAATCTAAAGTAGGCTTATATGGAACATCCCTGGCAGTGGCTTTGGTTGTTTTATCATGAGATCATCATCATCAATCATCATCATCAATCATCATCATCATTCTCTCTCTCTCTTTCTACCCCTCTCCCCCTCTCCCCTTCTCCCTCTTCCCCTCTCCCCCTCTCACTCACTCACTCACTCACTCACTCACCCCCTGTTAGGTAGGGGGAATCCACATAGAGCTCTGTAGAGCCATATATGTTCATTATTTTTGCAAATAATAACCATTGGAAAGGAAATTGGGGAGAAGTGTTCATGCACCCACAGCCCAAGGTCTTTAGCTCCCCCACACACAAACATGTAAAAAGGATGCAATAGCTGTTTCAACTCTTTACAAAGGGAATATCGAAGCCTTGTTTTCAAATTTCCATCTAATTTTATTATGTAATAGGTGTCATTGAAATACTCTTTCCATTGGAAGCAACCAGTTTCAAAGCAAAACAAATTTTAAAATGGTGAATGGTACCTTCTGGAGGAGTGAAGCCAAACCAAAATATTATCATCTTGATAATCTAAATGCTCTCTCTGCTATATTATTTTTATATTTATTATTTTCTTTCTTTTTCTTTATCTACATTTTTTCATGTGTTATGTTATGTTAAATTGAAGTGAACAGAAGGAATACCTTCTTAAGATACTAAAACTATTGCCTTTCTCCATGTGTTTGTATTGTATTTTGAATTAATTAAATGATAATGTTCAACAGGTACATGTTGAGTCTGAGGTTGCACTTTATAATGGCCACCTGAGCACAGAAGACAGTCATGATAGTATGAAGGTTACATCAGCTGCCGATGAACTTGCAGCAAAGGCATCTACCTCAAATGTCAGTGATGTTCGAGATGGCAGCAAGGATGAGAGAGATGATACAAGCCAGGACACTACCATGGAAACAGAAGATTCTGTTGGTGAGTGAAATCCAAAACACTCAGAATATATATACATTCACTGTGCATCCGAATATAAAAAGACGTACTCCCTCTGTTATATTGCCATTTAGGCCTTGAAAATAGTTGGTCTTTATTTCTTCTTTTTCTTCCTATTATTCATACATCTAGTTACTTAAAGATATATTTAAATGCCTATTTTATTGCTTTCTGTTTTAGAAAACCCTGAGTTGTTACCTTTATTTCTTCTGTTAAAATAGCTGTCGAGTTGATTACTTAACCCCTTCACAATGGGTGATGCCACTAGGCGTGAAAACAAACTGCTCAAAAAGTGGCATGCGGCCGTATGCCGCGGCGGCGAGCCAGTGATTCAGCCTGATGTATCGAACTCACATGCTCAAAGTCGGCACGCTGCCATGGTTCGCCAGAGAGTAGTAGTAGTAGTTTTTTTTCTTCTTCTTCGTCTTATTATTTTTCTTCACCCATCACCATTGGGTTAAAATCTTATTTCTTTGCAGTGTCCTCATCAGAGCAAGGTGGTGGTGGTGGTGGTGGTGGTGGTCCCACAGAGAATAATGGAGTCTTGATTGACTGGAGCCACCTTGAGGCAGTGTACGAGTCTTGTATCTCTGCTACAGGGGATGCTACTGTAGATGATCTCCAACGACTCTATTCTGCAATTACTGCCCTTATTCACAAGCACCTCCCAAATCCCAATAAGATGCAACTTCTACAGGTTGGTGTTTTTGCAAAATTGATAATCATATACTAACCATAATCTTGATGACTCTTCAGAAGTATTACAGGATGTTTTGCATAGAAATCTAGGGTTTAAATTGTTTGACTGAAAATTCAAGGACAGCAAAATAAAAATTTGTATTCACACATTTTGATATGTATGAAAATAGTTATAGATTATTCATGAAAGAGCCCCAACCACTTACAGACAAAGAATACACTTTGTGAAGTCTTAACCCCTTAACGATGGGTCATGCCTATAGGCTTGTAAACAAACTGCTCAATCTGTGACGTGCGGCTGTATGCCGCGGCGTCATGCCAAAGCGTCACGAGCGGTGATTCGGCTTGATGTACCGAACTCATTGCCATAGTTGGGCATAGTTTTCTCTCTCTCTCTCTCTCTCTCTCTCTCTCTCTCTCTCCCTCCTCTCTCTCTCTCTCTCTCCTCTCCTCTCCTCTCTCTCCTCTCCTCTCTCCTCTCTCTCTCCTCTCTCTCTCTCTCTCCTCCCCCCCCCCCCCACCCTTAACCTGTCACCAAGGAGTTAAAGGTTGTGATTGTAACACCAATATCAATTCATAAAGTAGATCATAGGAGATAGCCTGAAGATTTCTAATATAGAAAATTTGGGCATAAAATTGAGCAGTCATACAACAGTTATACCATATAGAGAGATGCCTGCATGTTGCTTTCTTAGATGTTTCTGTTTCTTTATGTTCATGTGTTTGAATAAGATCTCATGATTCATGATGCACATTGTTTTACAGGATACTGAAGTTGAAATAAGAAGATTTACGCAGTTCCACAAGACAACTTGAAGCTAGCAGTGTTGTGACCTGTTGAGTGTAGAGTGCAATGAAATATTCTTTTATTCTGACATTATAGACATCAGCTAATGTCAGGATTGTTCTGGCTTAGTTATATTTTGTATTCTCTTTTTAAGTATTTATATAATTCTTTGTCTGAATATTTTCCTGTCATTAATAAAGACCTGAAAGCTGTATCTTTATTAGAGTTTTGTACTTTT